TCTGTTATGTGAACTTGTACTGCTCAGACGAAAAACAATGCACTTAATTTGACTTCCATTAAATATTATCAACATACATTCTTCGGTGGCTATTCATTTTCTGCCACAAAGCCTGGTTAACCAGAAGGGTGAACAAATTAAAACAAAATACATCCGTGGAACACTCTCTCTTTAAAGGAACACAACCAAGAAGGGACAATGATGCTGACCCTGATGGACAGAACTTCTCTAATGCCAGCCAGCTATTTGGTCTGTGGCCCTTGTGCAATTAAAAGTTTTATTTTGGAGGGGTGAGGGGAGGGGGGGAATCTCAGTTGTACTGATAGTTCTATGTACATCTCAGTAGCATTAAGAGATCCAATAAAGGCTGTTTGTTTGGGTCAGTCATGACTAGCAGTGGTGCTCAAACTTGTGGCCCCATGTAACAGAATTGGGCCCTGAATGCCCAAAGGGGCATGTTATCTGACCCACAGGGTTCCCCAATGGTCTAGAAATTTGGTGGCAGGGGAGCAGGGCCACCACTTGCCTGCCACCAAATTTTTAGATGCATCTGATTTTAAATTACAGCTTCCGGTGAACAAGCCAAAAGGAAACCAGGTTACCATGACAAAGCACCAAACCAGAATTTTAGGCTTTAAAAATCAGGTTACTGAAGTGACAAACCTGTCCTGAAAAATGAAGTATAATGTTGCTGAAAGGGGTACAAGTGGGTGCATCTACCATGCAATCAATGTGATAAAACAGACTCCAAAACAGTTTGAGCTGAAGTGAACTGCATCCAGGGGCAGCTTCCACATGTGCACCCCAAAGGGCAGCAATTTGAGCCATGGCAGAGCTGGCCCCTGACTGGCTGGGCTGACCAGGCACAACTTATGCACCCCCAGCCAGCATCTACACGTTTCAGTGAACATGTAGACTCTGACGGTTTATTGTGTAGCTAATTAAACTACTCCACAGAAAAGCACAGGTGCAGAATGTCTCACTGGGTGCATCTACAAAGTCAAGTCTGAAAGCCCGCCCCCAAATAACCACTAATCAAGAAGGACAAAAAGGCGCCGGGGGTGGGGGCGCACATGAGAATTAGTCCACTTGTAGGCCTCAAAAACCCTCTGGCTGCTAGGGAGATAGAAGGATTTCTGCCAGGTAGTGTACTGTTTGACAGAAACCCTGTTCCCATCAGCCCCTTACTAACACTTGAGGAGCTCAAAGCTTCACATCTCTCTTTAGCTGCTGAAAAGAAGTAGCAGTTCTGTTTTTCCTCTCTTCTCTTAGTAGAGCTTCCTGAGAGCTGAAGGTAGAACAAGGATATGTTCATTACAATTACTCTTCTTTAGTACCATTCTTCTCTGCTTGAACGAAAAAGCTTAGAACCTGCCTCTAGTGCAGCTCAATGATTTCCAACAGGTAAGAGACATGATTCTGGATTGTGTCACTACTGTCCAAGGGGTTGGAACAGCAACAATAAAAAGAACTGGCCATCCATTATTTAGCAAAACTATGAACAACTGCAGAGGCACTCTCTCTCCCTCGAGACTTAGAAAGATGTTACTCTGCTTTACATTTGATTTGTGAAAACAGGTAACCCTTGAAGCCAAAGGACTGTGTCATCTTTTTTGTGAAATCCAAGATTTAATTCGACAGAATTTGATGGTCTATGGCAGATGGATTTTTCAACTCCTTGTAAAGGTTTAATCTAATTCAACTAATATTTTTCTCCTTTGACAGAAGACAGAAATAGTTTCCTTTTTAAAAACAGCCAAAAGTCTAAATATTAAGGTGAAGAACTAAATGGTAATACCTGAATAATAGCTAAATACAATACTATTTTTACTGTTCGCCAACACTGTATACAGGGGATACGCAGGCTGACTTAAGTAGGATAGACGATTTTGAGACAGGTTTTTAACACGGCAGCAAGTTGTTTCAGCATGCTACTGGCTGCCATACAGGCATATCCAATGATGAACATACAACTGAATTTAACCTTTTAAGTACTGAAGTAATACCTTAAGATATTAAAGGGTGAAATTCTCCTTTCACTGAGGTAAAATTGGGCAGTGCCATGACTTCAATAAGGTGAGGATTAGACATTTCCACAAAAACTCATAAACAAAACAAAGACACTCACGTGGCATTACTGAATCCAACATATTCATTACCAGCCATTTTATTCATAAACTGCATCACCTATGAGAAAAAGCACCCCAATATTGAATAAAAAGATTTGATAAAAAGTATAAATATGGACTATTATTTTCAGATTCATAACTAAACTAGTTCAGGGCACAAAGTGTGAAAATACTCAAAGTATTCTGTATCAGGAAACTTAATGCTTACATGACTGAAATTTCACATACAATCTGAAAGCAAAAAGATCCGTGTCCAACATGAGATTGTCCATCATGAAATCTAAATATGAAAACGATGCTTACTTACATAGTCAAATTTTTCTGCATTACTTACTCCTTGCTGAAAGGAAAAAAAAATAATTTACAAGAATTGTTAATGCATACAAATTTAAATAGTTAGAAGTTCACTTAAGATGATTAGTTTTTTAATTGCGTATAACTTTAATAAAGACTTACAGGTATCAAGCTACTTAAGTATAAGTTACTATAATCATTTGATATATTAATATAGTATGAAATTAAATTACATAGAGTAAACCATTTAAATAAAGGGTCCAACTAGATCTTTTATCAAATACCTCTATGTTAAGAATAGATTCAAGCAGTAATCAAGGTATGCTTTATTTTAAGTGTTCTCTATTCAATACTCCATATTTACAATTAATAGTATATAGGAATATACGTCAAACATGCAAACTAATTGTGATCAATGTTATCACAATGAACACAGCATTAACTTTTTATAAACTTGTAACCTAAAGATCTTATTTTGTTCTAAACAAAGGAAAAGCGATGCTCCCAAGACTAAACATTGTTTCTAGTAACTCTTCACACTATGAATTTAATTCAGGTGGAAGACTTAAAATAAAGTATTACCTTTACTATAAAATAACTGCATTTAATTTAAGATTTCTGAGTTAAGGTAAATACTCTACACCCAACCCATGTAAACCTGATTAATCGGGTTAGCAAAATAGGTATTATTTAACAGCTAACTCAACTATGATTTTAGAATCTTAAAACATCCAGTCACAACATATTCAAAACACAATGCAGTTTTGCTAATAACACAAAAAAGGGAGGCACCTACATTCTATTTCACCAGTTCTCTTGTTTAAATTAGTTCTTGGGTATCTGGTTTTTAGAATGTGGTCTTAAAATCTGGTAGCTGCCCATGAAAGACTTACTGGTTCTCCCTCTCAATTTATGATAACTTATCTGCCACAAACTCCCTTCAGGGAGGGGGTTGGGGGCCCTGGGGAGGGGTGGAACATAAGCAAAAACCAAAACCTAAAAAATCCCAAAAAAATAAATACATATTTTACTTTGTCTTGTAAAACAGCCAAGCAGCTTCGTTTTCAGAGGATGTTTATAGAACAATGGGTTGAAAGTCACCAATATTAATTGACATTATATAAGGCTAATGTAAAATACATATACAATTTTTTTGTTTTATAAGTAAATTTAGTATTGAAGATAGTCTATCTATATGTTAGACAACATTTTTTATTATTACCTCGAACAGTTCAAGAGCCATTACTCACACTATAATTAGTATAGGAAAAAAAACTGAAGCTTTGTATGTACCAGCATTTTACTTAATGAAATGCATAAAGCCAGTCTCATTTCCCACTCTACAAGTGGATTAGGGTGCTGCAGATAATCTGTGAAGCCCCACGCATCAGCTCATCTACAAAAGGATGTGCAGTCATACACGTACGATCACTAGCTGAAAGGAATACCACACTGCTGTGTCAAAATTACACGCAAAGGGTTACCTTACAATTATTAAATAAGAGCTAAATAATACTCTCACTCTTTAAGCCAATGATCTCTATCAAGATAATCTGTAATAATAGGTATGCTTAAAAAAAAAAAAAAAAAAAAAAAAAAAAAAACCCCATCTTAATTTTCTAAAAAATTTTTTTCCTCATGCTACATTTCATCAAAATGTTCTTGTATAATATACCAAAATACAAGCCTTAAAAATGTACCTCCAAGTCTGTTCAATGAAAAAATAATTAAAAGAAGAAATTACCAACTTCATTGAACTGTTGCAGTTGTCAAAATATTCCATAGATCCTAATGCTGTAAAATATGTAACAACATTTAAACCACAAAAACCTTTTCAAGCTTTTAAATGCACAATGAACATCTCTTTGGGAAAGTGGGTCAGCATTAGTTATGGGATGCTGCATTGATAATTGTATGGTTAGACACTTAAAATAAACTGAAACAAGTTATGCTGCTTCTGTTAAAAAAGAAAGGAGGAAGGGATCATGCTTTGTGCAAAAAGACAAACACATAATAGTTTGGACTTTTTTTGCCCAATTGAAAAAATTCCTTGCATGGTAATAAACTGATCTCACTAACAATATATAAAGCTCCGTAGACAAGAGTGAGATTCATAATTAATAAATTAAAGCTATATTTTTTCATATCAATATTTTAAAAATATGTTTATTTTATCTTTTAAAAGCTCCATCTGGATTTGCATGCTTAGAGAAGACAACGATCACTTTTCCAGAGCATCTTGTGTACACTCACTCAAGCATGTTGACCAGGTGGTACTTTCAGGCCCAGGTCCTGCATACACTTTCATACATTCTTAACTTTGAGCACAACAGTAATGCCACTGAAGCTAACAAGGCTACTTGAGTGCTTAAAGCATGTACCAAGTGACTGCAGGATCAAGAGCATACCATGAGTTCAATACAATACATAATAGAAAGAAAGAAAAAATGTTTACTTCCACATGCATCAATAACTACAATTATTCATCACTATAGTTTTCCTGTTTTATTTCTACAAATGAATGAGGCAGACCACAAACCTTCCAAAAACAAAAGTCACACAGGCATCACACATTTTACGATTAAAGTTTAAGTATTTAAAAAGAAAAAGGCCTAACATTGACCTCATGGAAATTTTGAAGATCTTTTTTCATAACAATTTTGAAAAATATGAAGGATAGAGAAACTTTTGCACTCTAAATTTTATTTGACCTAAATTTTACTCGGTTATTCAGTTGGAGGGGAGGGGGGAAGAAAAGAGGGGAAGGAACAGACAGTGGATTAAATGTGTTTGTATAAGAAAGTTACACAAAAAAATACATCTGTCTACAACGTTAAAAAGAAATATTCCATGCATTCAAACATTAACAAAAATATACTAAATATATATTTATATGTATATATACACACTAGCATGCATACAGTAAGTGTGTATATTTGTGTGTGTGTGTGTACACACACACACACACACACACACACACACGAATAAAAAATTCTAAATGAACATAAAAAGTGTCAAATATTAAGACTGAAACAGCTTAATAAGAAAGAAATTCAAAGCTGTGACACGGCTCTTAACTCAAGCATTTTTATTTAAACACATAAAAGCACAATGAGAGTTTCAGCTGTCAATCTTAACTGAATTTCTTGACTTGTCAATTTGTCAGGACCTATGGAGTTTCTCAGCTTTCTGTATTACACTGTGTTGAGAAATATATATAATATTTTTATTTAAGGGAATGTCTTCCTACTAGATATTGCTTTATTTTGGCAAAATGCAAAGTATATGAATATACATGTCAATATATTTGATATAGCTGGAGAGATTTTTAATACTTACCAAAGCATGCAATAATAAATCCAGATAAAACTCATCTGAAAAGGACTACATTCAGCCACTTTTCATTAATATTTCAATTCTACATGGTAATATATATATATGTTTGTCAAATCACTCTTTTAAACTACTTCAATTTCTTTCTTTGAAAAAACCTGAAACAGTTAAAATGTTTGTAGCATAATGCAACATAATATAATTTTATTAATATCTTAATAGAAATGCATTTTGGGGGAGATGCTGTATGCAAAGTTTAGGCACAGCGTTAGAATTCAGTTTCCAATCCCCCTAAAAATATACAATTCTGACATTATTTTAAGCACAGGAACATAATTTCTGTATTTTACATAAATTTGACTCTTATTGGCTTTAATCTACCTTTCTGTACTTACACGCTCTGTTTTGTTAATCTGTGCATGTTCTGTAAGAACTGGTGTCTTAGCTGTTTAGCATACCATTTTCACCTCTGAAATACTTGGGAGCACAATGTCATAGACAACATTTAACCCACCAAGAACAATATTACCATTCTTCAAATTCTATGCAGGAACTAGGCTTGTGCCTTCAAAGTAAAAAAACTTGAATATGTGATTATAGAACACTTTATATAATTTGAAATGCATATTAGGAAGGAGAAACTATGTACCACAGAGCATATTCTGACAATTAATTTAATATTACCAGCAAGTAAATTCAATTAAATTAAAATATAAGGCAAAGTCAAAATAATTTGAATGGATATGTCAAAAACCTGAGATTAAAGAAGATACCTGAACTCTAGAAGGGAAGCAACTTTCTTAAGTACAAGCAAAGGCCCAAATACAACAGGAGACACTTCTTAAATTGCCCTGTTGTTACATGTTTTGAAACAGATATGCATCTATTTACATGCCAAACTACCAGGAGGGATAATTGGAGTAAATAGCTTAGATGAATTTAGAAAAAGGTGTGTGTGTACTTGCTATAATTATACTATTACATATACCAGAACAAAAGAGCCTTTCTTGTCAAGTGATATGCAGATAACCATCTACGCTTCATACATTTTTATAAACCTAAAAAGTTGTATCCTGACAATACACTGGACCCTGGCACAGTTAGCTTTCTCTCTCTCCCCCTACCCTTACCATTTTTGATAATTATTCTATTACTACAAAAAAATACTATGAGATATACTTTTTGTTGGCTGACACTATTTCAAATGAGATGTGTATCTGGAGCATCTTAACATCACCTCTCTTTCAGCAAATTTGTTAGTGATTCATATAGGTTGCTATTTCCATCCATATCTCCATTTTTGTGCTGTACGGGACTTTTTGCAAGGATTTTCAACTGAGCTTATACCACAGTATCTAGCTGCCCCATACCAACTTATCTACATAAAGGAATGGATTCCATTGTCTCTCTCTTCTGCCTTCCATGACTGTAGAGAAGTGCCTAGTACAGACAGTTCAGTTTCTCCTGGGAATGACACTGCTCTCCCAGGAGAAGCCATGAGAGATGTTCAGGCTTGTTCCCCCAGAGTAAAAATGGCCACTCCAGGAGAAAAATAACCCGGGAACAACCAGGGTTAAAATCACTCCCAGGAGAGTTTCTGTACATACTGCAGGTTCTTCTTGGAGTACAGAACTGGTCTCGTTTTCACATTTTGGACATTTCTAAGTCCTTTCAGTTTCTTAGGCCCCTGCTACACATTGCATACATTATGCAATTAACTGGCTAATTGCACAATAAATTAGACTGGCCACATGTGGAAAGTAAGACAAGGCACACATGCAAAGTAATTATCACATGATAAAAGTGACTATTCAGCTACACAAAGAGCCAACCAGCTATAAATTTAGTGCTAAAATTGTATAACAATTCTATAGCTGGTTTCCAATTTCCATTGCCCTTTAATGTGGATGTGTAGCAGGACCCTTACCAACAATTTATCTTGCAACATACCTTAGCAATGGTAAGATTTTGCATTGGTATTTTCTCCCCTGGCAATTACTTCTGTAGGTGTCCCCCTCTACCCACTTCCACTGGCCCCTCAGAACATTTCTCTTCAGCTCTCTGAATTTTATGCAGCATATTACCCAAAGTAGTACAGATGTCTTGATGGCTCACGAACAGAGACATAGTTACTGATGTATCTACATGCTGACATATCAGGAGGTTTGAAGAGGAGGTGCATGGCCTTACATGGGCAATAGAACCATATCAAATAACTGACAAGATTATCTATACTAGGGTTAATAAGTATTTTCCCCAAGAATAAACAACTGGTGATCTGCAGAAAGAACAAAGCGTTCCACAGTGCTAGATCTCCTTGGTTTGATCTGTTGCACTGCACTGAAGACAGTTAGAATGATAAACAATATTTTCCTATTATCACTTTTCTACATAAGCAATTGTTATAATAGCCCTGTATAATTATACATAATATTACATGGTTGAGAATAGTGGGGAAGCAGCTGCACAATCATAAGCGAGAGAGATAAGGTCCATAGGAATGTTTTAATTAATATCTAGTTCATCAACATAAAAGTTTTAGAATCCCTGTGGTGAAGCATTTCAATTGGAAGCTACATGTTTTAAGCCTAAGAGAAAACAATTTGGGGTGTAAGTACAGTTAGAAAGAATAGAGCCCTGAGTGAAGACATCAAATTTTAGATGCATCATTACCACTGGTACACACCAGCTCAGGTGTCATGTAAGCCTGTGTATTACAAGTCAGTCTCTCTCAGTAAGCCATGCAAATGTAGAGTTAACAAATCCACTGACAATATTAAATGAATGGCAAAAATAACAGAACCACCATATAGTAGGTTCAGTGCTAAGATGCATACACATAATTCCAACTATAGCAAGAGCTGGGCAGGTAATTTCCAAGGACAGAGTTTTTCATTTAAAATATTAAAACACTTATGTCAGCAACAACTCATACAGAGTAAATGGATTCACTCTGAGGTACCGACCCATAAGTATGACAGATCCTAATTGCAGTTATACGTAAGAATCAAGACAAAAACCCTCTGTTTCCAGTTGCATACAATCTGTTGTACTCTATTTAAAAGGTGTTGTTTTTATTTTCCAAAAAATTAAGCAGATGAAATGAAAGGAGCCTCTAAGTAATGGTTGCTCCAAAAAGGTAAAAATATGGTCTGAATTCTTAACAGCAAAAGCCTTACCATGCTTCTTGAAAAGCTGACATTACTAAAAAGTAGATTATAAAATATGTATTTAAATCGTCCTAAGTATTTTCTTAAGCACATTTAATTGCTAGATTCCAAAAGGTCATATGGTATGAGCAACTATCTTGAATACTAACAGAACAAATGCATCAAAACAGAGGGCAGTATACGGTTTTAATTTAGCAATGTTTTACATCTTATTTGTAGATTATTTCAAAACTTAGCTTGTCAGTGTTTTATCTAAGTTTTCTACATAATTCATGTGTAAACTTATCATTTTTATAGTCTGCAATTTATCTGGACAAAATACCTAAAAATACTATGCCTGCTAATCCTAAAAATAGCTTCCCCCCATATAATATTTCTAGTTTTAGTCATTCAAATGATAATAGCATCTTAGTGGAAGCAATACATGAAATGGTCTAGATACTGTCACTCTGAAAACAAATAATGAAGTGAGTGTGGTATGTGTCTACCAGACGAGCAGTTACTACATGCAAAAAACTCAGTGCAATGGAATACTGTCCATAAAAACATTACATCCAGAAACCCCCCCAAACAGAAACCTTTGAATGAATGTCACAGTGGCATGCAATAAAACTAAATTTGCTTTATCTATGCAACTACAACATTTTATCAAGAACTCTACATTGGTGCCTTCTACAATAGTTACACCCTTGTGTTTATGCCACAGACCAGGAACCAGGAGAGCATTCTACAGCAGGACTGACATTTCAACAATTCAGACAAATGGGTTACTAGTTCAGATTTTAAAATTCACTGTTGTCAAAGTGAATTTCAATGCTCAGTCAATCTTTAAAAAAATTAAATGTGAATAAATTTACCTGTCATACTTAAGGCCATTTTCTTTCACCTACAGCTATTAAAGATAAATGTCTTTAGGCAGAAGTTCTTACACCTTCATTAAATATAAAATAGCAGAAAATCATGATCTAAGAATCCTTCATAACTAACAATTTGGGAACAGAAACTAAATAGTATGCTAAAAGCTAAATGTATTTTAAAACATTAAAAAGGAAGTTTTTCCAAGCACAATGCTTTATTTTCATCGTTTTAAATTTTTTCATATCAGAACTACAGGGGATTGAAATATTTATAAATTCAGTCAGTTCTAGATAGGGTTCTACAATTACAAAACTAGATTTAACTGCAGAATTTAAAGTAAAAGGTAGGGTACATATTGTGGTGAGGTAACATACACTAATATCACAAAACCCACTTGATTTACAACTTTTAAAATACTCATGCACAACCATACTAATGGCAAAATCCTTTTTTTTCCCAAAACATAAGCATGTATTTATACAGAAACATGCATTAAGGGTGCTACAGCCAGCATGTAATCTAAGGTTTATTCAAAATGTACATAGTTGTTAGTTCCCACAAAACACTCATTAATTAATTTCATGTTTCATATCCAGATTAAGACTAAAAGGTGATTTAGCTGCACAACAGATTAATTGTGGGCAAGTTTAATATTAAAGGAATGCATGGGAAGTTAGTTGTGCATCTCTTGCCTTTATAAATCAAGTTATAACACATTCTGATTTCATCTAAAGCAATTAAAAAAAAGAAAAGAATTTTTCCCTTGTAATTCTGTGATGGATAGAATACTTAAGTTTGGCAGCACACGTATAAGTCCTATTCACAAGGTGAGAGATTTAGTGAATAACTGAGGATGTACTCAGCCTTTGATGATAAGTAAAAGGCATTGCTTGTGAGACAACCATGACAAATGATTTCTCAGTGAGAGGAAAAAACATAAATAAAAGATCTCATTTATGTTTCTGGTTTACCCAGCATAAAAGATACTAAGTGGATGGGTAAATAAAGAAAATAAAACTCCAAGAATGAAAAAGTCAGCATTTTAGCTGCATGACACTTTCTTTCTTTCTGAAACTATTAACAGGATGTGTTAAGTGTATCAAAATATTACAACTCATCTTCATTCCAGATTTCATTTCTCTACATACATTAAAACACAGCAGCCTATGTAAATGCTGCACAAGATAAGTCTTCTGTATGCTACTGCAATATTCAGAGCAAAACTAAATGTGAATTTTTTACCTTGATTAAGGAAGTGACCACAATTGCTCCAGCATTCACCATAGGATTGTGAGGTCTGTCTGAAAAATAATTTTTCAATTATTTGTAAATCCTTACGGCTGAAGTATACAGATGCTGTAAACAAAACCAGCTAATATGTATCCAATTAAAAAAAAAAAAAAAAAAAAAAAAAAAAAAAAAAAAAAAAAACCAAACAAACAAACAACATTTATGCACTTGAACCTACGGTATTTATAAACTTAAATTACCTTTCATCAGTGTGACAATTTTCTGTAGTGAAGCATTCTAAAGCCTATAGAACATCTTGCCCTAATATTATTTATCAACCAAAAACTGTAAAATTCAAACACAGTAAATTTGACTTTTCTTCTTCAATTTCTCTGAAGTTTACATAGGGCCCCACGATTCAGGAAAAAGTAACGTGTGGTTGAAAAATATCATCCCCTCAATAGTTTGAATAATTTTTGGTGCAAAGTTATCCTGTCCTGCTAATTTAAGTATTTCACAGTGGTAAGGAATGGTAGATGATAGTAAGGGTATAACATACATCAAACTGATTTTTTTCCAAATACACAAGTCTCTATTAACTGACAGTTTCACCATTCTAGCTGCCATATTTACTCAAACCCAAAACAAGCTGTTGTGTCCCTGTCCCCTCCCCCCACATTCAACATGGCGGGGGGAAAGAAAGAAACCTCATCTTAGATTTGGTAAAAGTCCAGGCAGGCGGCTACTTTGGCTCCAGCTCCATTCTTGCTCTGGCCCCGGCACAGGCGGAGATTGCATGTTATGGGGTGGGAGGAGTGCAAGAAAAATAATGTGTTGTGGCCCAAAAGGGAGCAGGAGTAAGATCTTAAGATTGCCACATGATGCCACACAATTCACAATACTGCTGGGTGTGCAAACACAAACACGAGATTCGCAAAATAAACCTAGAGATTTCAAATAAAAATCCATAGCGTCAACAACAATCTGACCTGCTGCAGTCTTGCTGAATTCTTTGCAACACAAGAATTGTTCTATTATTTTTTCCAAAGACAAAGATGAGTGAAAGCTAAGAGCTAGTATTTTCTGAGGGAGACCAAGTCTAACAAGGTTGAGAACCACTACTTTAAAAGGGGTTTTTTTGAAAACCTGTTCAATATTTTTAAGCTCTCTCAGTGCATGAATTTTCAATTAAAAGAAAATACTGATTAGGAGCTTTGAGTTTGCACACAGGATGCCTGCCTGGATTTGGAGAGTATCCAAAGCCCTAGACCAGTGGTTCTCAACCTACTTGCCATAGTGGGCCACACTTGCAGCTCTCAATGTGTTATGTGGGCTACACCCCACAGCTGAGGAGTCCCCAGCTGCCAGAGCTACAGGACCAGGGCCAGGAGCCACCTGCTCCCGCTTACCCCCCAGTAGTGCCCAAGCCTGAGCTGCCACCTGCAGGAGGCGGCAATTGCTGCAGCCAGAGTAGAGTAAGCGTGGAGCCCAGTTCTCTCCCCCTATCCCCTGCAGGTGGCACAGCCAAAGCAAAGCCCATGGTGCATGGGCAGATCCAGGCAGGACCTGAAGCTGGCAAGGCTTGGTGCCACTGCTGGGAGCCCCACGCTAGCTATCCCAGTCATGGTGAGGTGCCCCCTGCCCACCCTGCAGCAGTGGTGGCACAGAGTTGTGCCCCCCACTGCTGCCAGATGGGCAGAGGGTGCCTTACCATGGGGGCATGGCTGGCATGGGGCTCCCAGGAGCAGCAATGAAGCTTCCCACCCCACTCTGCCACGGAGGCCTCCCAGGGGGAAGGGAGCTGGGCAGGGAGCCCTGAGCCAGCAGCAGGCAGCCCACATCAGAACCTAAATCTGGGGGGCACGTGCCCCCCCCCCACGCCTCCCACCCCAGGGGTGCACAGAGCAGCAGGGAGTTGTCCCCCCAGCCCCCACTGTTGCCCAGATGAGCCGCCTGTGGCTACAGTCCCACTCCCTGCCGTGCCCTGCAGCCACACATTCCCTCCCCAGCCCTGGACCCCACATGCGACCCCAGGCCCTGCCTCTGCCCTCCCCTACTCTACTCCCTCCCTCATCATGGGGAGCTCAATCTGCCCCCGCCTCCCCCCTCCCCCCACACAGACTTACCTGGAGGAATCTGCAGGAGCTCCTCTCCTTTTTGCCTGGCTACCATGTGCATATGTACACACACAGACATGCACATCGCACACCCTGCCTCTGATCACCCTCCTCCTGCTCCAGCTGGAACTCTGCCAGCCTGCAAGGGGAAACTTGCTATTTGCCATGTTTTTCTCCCTGACTAAAACTGTGGGAGGCAATCTTTTTTTTTTTTTTTTTTTTTTTTTTTTTTTTAAACAGGATGTCACATGGGCTGCAGCAGTGTGCTTATTGGGCTGCATGAGGCAATAGACCACTGCCCTACACAAATGGGCCTGGGAAGGAGAATACTTGCCCAGTGGTAGACTTGATGACTGCATTCTGCTCAGTGAAATTTTGAAACTTGACTATTGGACTTTGCCCAATTGAATTTGGAACTGATTTAACCTTGAGAATTTTTTTTAAGTCTGTACTATATATATGTGTGTGTGTGTGTGTGTGTGTGTGTGTGTGTGTGTGTGTGTATGTATGTGCCAACATGCTGCTCAAAAGTGTACTTATGGAGTACCTGTGCTAAAACTTGCAGCAGTTTCAAAAAGAGGTAACATGCATCAATTCTGGACAAACTAAGTGTGCGGCTGCAACATGCAAGCTACTATAGCCATGTTTAATTTCAGTGTTATTGTTTTCAATTTTGGTCCTCATTTCTAAGTGTTCAGGGAGAGCAGGGTCTGATGCAAACTATACATAAGTGCAAAGTGTAAGTGTGCCATATGTAAGTAGGTACAAGAGTGCTGCTTAAAAATGTGTTTATGCAGTACCTGTACTAAAATTTGCAAGAGTTTCAAAAAAGGTCAAATGCATCAGTTCTGTATGAACTAATTCTGTGGGCACTACATGCAAATTATTCCAGGTATGTCAGTAACTTGTGAAAGCACCCTTAATCAACTTCATAATTGGCTTCCATTATCAAGTACCTGCTGCTTTGACAGCAGTTTAATGATAGACAATGAATTTAAGACAAGGGACTTTTTCCCCCGGGCTGATTTGGGGGACAAAAACTTGTTTTGCATTCGAGTAAATATGGGAAAGGGGCCACTCTTCCATGCCTTCTGCTCAACTACTGCATATTCATAATAAGTGCTTTAGCAAATTCCCATAAAGTTACTCCATACACAAGTTTAATCTTTTGCCGCCTCAGCTCAAATTACATTATTTTTCTCTGCCAATTTTTTCTGCTCACTTGGTTAGCCTGATGTCCTAGTTGTGTCGACTCCCTAGCTATTTGGCTTGCTATCTCCAAGCATAAAAAGAAAAGGTTGTCATTGCATACAATATGTATTTTAAGTCATCATGTCAAATGTCAGGTTTATAACAAGATGTCAAGTAGGGCATACTAAGCCCTTGTATGGGTGCTAAAAGAAAACCGAAGCAAATGCAAGCTTTTCTGCCTACCAAGGACTGATCACAGGCACCTCTTTAATTCAGAAGCAGTACAGGTGATATCAGCACTCTTGGAAACATGGGTGAGAAATATGGCCCTGCCTACCTGCTCCCACTCTACACTTTGCCAAGCCCATAAATGGCATGGAGGAGGCATCCTGTCCTTTGAGTTGTTCTCAGCTTCTGCCTTATACATGCTTGAGACTCCCCTCCCCCTAATGGAAAACACCCCTGAAATTGTTTCATCACCCTCATCTCAGAGTTTGACAAATAGATACACTAGAGATGGCCATCATCTGTCTAAGTTACAAACCAACAGCAAATGAAGCTGCAGAGCAGGATGACTTTCCACATGGGCTGTACCAGCCATGCCAAGGCCCTAGCCTAGGTACATATCAGGGCATGGTCAAATATACATCTAGAGTGGTTGCAGAAGGGGATGGGGAACAGCTGCTTCACACTCCACAGCTCTTATACATGCAAAAGCTGGGACCCATAAAAGATGTAACATTATCCAAGGTCCAGGTTTGGAGCAGTTTTGCAACATTTGTAATGCTTCCAACTTACACAGATAACCGTTACAGCGTAACAACTGCTGCAAGCCCCAGAGCAACAGTTTCCCCCTCCCCTTTTGAAACCATTCCAAGTGTGGATTGTCCATGTCCTCCAACAGCTGGTGCTACCAGTTTCATTGCTACTTACACTGGAGGCATAGAGCCATGTGCTGCAACCACACCGTCAGCTATAATACAGACTTACGCTAAGACTAAATACAGACAGTCAAAAAGCCTGAGGCTGAACTGATTCAGTCTTTACAGGTTAATTGAAGCTGAGAAGCAAGTGAACAGACATTCACTTTTGATACAGGAAATGCAGCCACAAGCCTGCAGTGGCTCAGGCCAGAAACTGGGAAGGGCCTAGAGCACACCTCCCAGCCTGCTAGCCACTGCCAAAGAAGGGACTGAAGCTCCAAGACTTTTCCCCACACCCTGCTCAAGCAGAGGGGGTGTGGCCAGGCCCCAGCCCCGGGCTAGTACGCTGAGCTAGCAAAGGGAGAAGGCACCAGGGACAGGTGTGTGGTGGAAGCCAGGGAGACATAAGCCCAGGTGGAAGCGGGGAGGGGTGTTTCTGGAGACTTAAGCCCCTTGACATTGTTTGGCCTGTCCATGTTTCCCTGCCAGGCTGTCTTCTTGGGGAGAGGGCCACATCCTAGCCCAGGGTGCTGAGGTAGGGGGGGTTTAAACTCCCCCCAGCCACAGACTCCAATATAGGTCTGGGGGGGAGCCCCTGCCAAGCTTCTACCCCTGCTTCCCTCTAAAGGGGGAGAAAGGACAGCCTTCAGCCAAGATTTCTCCCTCGCTCCAGCGGAGAGGGTGGCATAGCCACTGGGGCTTAAGCCTTCTCCCTGGCCCCATACCCCAGCTGGGGTTAGCTTGGGGGCAGGGGCAGCCTCCCAGGCTTCCCCCTGCCCTCCACCCCTTGCCCTCCCCTCAACTCCAGCAGCAAGTAGGGAATAGCCTGTCAGGGGCTGCTGCACCCCTGCCATGCAGACCCCAGCTGGGGTCCCATGCCGGTGGGAGAGGGATTTCCCTTCCTACCCTTGGCCTGAGCCTGCTGGCCCATGCCCCCGTCCCCTTCACTCCAGCAGGGAAAAGTCTGGTAGGGGCTGCTTGCCCCCCTCCCCCACAGCAGACCCAGCTGCAGTCCTCAGCCAGGTTTCTCACCCCCACCCCCTTGTCAGTCAGCCCTCACTGCTCCACCTAGGGAGCAGAGGGGCAGGGCCAACCCTGTTCTCTGGAGCAGGCAACACAGCACAGCCCAACCCAGGGCTGCAAAGCATCCTGGGATGCTGGGGGACTGTGATTTAACTTGAACCAGGAAGGGGTCTGGGACAGAAGTTTCATGAACTGGTTTGACCTAAATCAGGTAAGTATGATACTACCTTCAGCCACTTTTCATTCCATCCAGGAAGAGCACACACCAACTGCTGCAGCTTCCTTAGCCTGACGAAGGGTTTTTGAACCCGAATGCTTGCTCAATAACTATTCTCCAACCGTTTGGGTTGGTCTAAAAAAAGATATCAAATTCACCCAAGGAACCTTGTCTGCTTATATCCTTAGACCAACACGGCTACAACCTAAACCCCTACCTTCAACCAGGTTTATCTTAAACTAGTTTCTGCCAATTTTAAACTAGTTTATGTGCACTGAACTTCTGTACTGTTACAGATTTAAACCAGTTTCTGATCATTTAAACCCATTTATGTGTAACTTCTATCTCTAGCCCAAAAGGTCAGGGCCTAGCCCTAACTCTCATCCTAGACAAAACTTTCTGTAATGTCCTTACTACATATTCATTCAAGTATAAATATAGATATAATTAACAGATAAAGACTTCAGTTCACTAAAGTATAGATATCTGTTTCAATGTGAATGTACTTAGCAGCAGAACAAAAAGGAAACCAAAATTCTCATCAACACATGCATTTAGTAACAGTGTTTTAAGAAAAAAAATAATGTCTCATTTTCCCTGCACCACAATTTGTTTACAAACAATAGGAATAATGCCCACTTTTGTTAATCAATTTAAAAATCAATTGATGAAAAATATTCTATCAATACAAAAAAAAAAAAATATTTTGTAAAACATAGCAAAACCACCTTTTATAGTATGTAGTACAATAAGAAAAGCCAAACCACCCAGCCAATTGTGGTTAATTGGAGAATACAGACCTGTTTTAGCTTTTTTAATATTAAAAAAAAAGTGTTCTTTACAACATCTTTTCTTATAAGTCTTCTCACATCATTAGACTCAAGATCTGAATATTACTATAAAGAAACATTATCACAAAAACTGAATCTATACCAAGCATATTGATATTATCATGCATAGTAATTAAATTGATAAACACAATTGTCGCGGAGCACTTGGGTGCTCTGCTCCTTTGAAGAGTGGAAACTGCTAGGGAAAGCAGTGAGTGGCGAGACCCAGCTGCTGGTTACCAGGGCAACCAGAGTGAGCTAGTGACCCACAACTGCCAGCAGTCAGCTGACTAGAAGGGGCAGGGCCTGGCTTACATATAAACCCGAGAGCAACCAAAGGGGAGAGGCCTGACTGCAGGTACAGCCTCTGATACTGGTGAGGGATGGAGCACCCCTGGGCTGGCTTGACTGAAGTTATAGCCGGGCGGCTTCAATTTATGTTATAGCCCAGGGGCTTGTGTTTTGTTTGCTGTTTAACACCGGTGGCTTGGGTGAAGCTATCAGGCGATGGAGGAGGCCTCATAGGGGACCCACAGCAGTGTGGGGACCCCAGAGCCAGAGAAGGCGCAGCACTTTGCAGGGCTGCGGAAAGCCCAGGTGCCAGCAAAGGCGCAGTGCAAGATAGGGCTGCGGAGAGCCCAGGGAGGACCAGGGGGCCAAATTCTAACAAGGCCCAGACCGAACAACGTCAGTTCCATCTGCAAGGCTTGGGGCATGGTAAAGGGGTGGTTGGAGCCACGCATAGCCCATAAGGCTATGGTGCCCCGAGACACCCATTGCAGAACGGGACCAACAAGGGGTCCAGGAGCCCATGGGGTCAGAGCATATAGCAAAACCATGTCCAAGATGATGTAAAGGTAGCCTCCCTATTATATACTTACCATCAAAGACGTGGCGGGCGAGAATCGAGGGTGCCCACTGGACCAAGTTGTCATGGTAAGGGGGCCTTGGGGAGATCATGGCCATCCCACAGGACCCCGTGCCATGACACAATAGATGCATCTTAATTCTAAAATTTAGGGCCAAAACTTATTATTTTCTAAATCATAAAAACAGATACATATTGGAAGAAGCAGCATTTAATTAACTGCACTTAAAATACTGCATGTTATACCATACATACTTTTTTTTTTTTTAAACTTATGAAAACCCAAAAGTATACAAGCATGAGATGCAGGATGGACAGAAGTCAATTTTGGAATAGTTCCTTAAATTCAGAAAGCTACTTAAAGGGGTATCCCATAATTCTGCAAAGCTATAAAACAAGAAGTTTCTATCACTAAAAAAAGGAAACTCCCAGCTCCCTAAAACAGACAAAGCACAGCTCTGAGCCACTGAAAATGCCCAGATACTTTCATAATTAACTTTTTTTACTAGGAAAAAAAAAGTTATCTTTGATAATTTTTTGCATGTTTGAAAAAGTTTCATATTTTCTCTGTTCTTCTTGGCATTACAAATACAGACACAAATACGAAAAAAATCCAATTCCAATAAAACTAAATTTAAAAAATAAACAAATAAAAATGCTTATTTAACTTTAAATGCAGTGCTAATGATCAGTTTTCATATAGCTTTAAGTCAGTACAATCTCCCTTTTTTATTTTATATATACATCTATAATATCATGTTATATATGTATTAACATGTGTAGCACCTATAAGTACATTACTATGTTCACAGAGAGAGCAATGTACGACCTCCATTTAGAACTGATCGTTTTGCTTACAAAAGATCCAAATGGGTACAGGATAATCTACTGCACCGAAGATCACATATCTTGGGTTAAATTGAAGTTAAACATTAAACCAAAAACCTACTCTCTTGGTATAACTAACACAGTGATTCTCAACCAAGGTGCTGCAGTGCCCTTCGGTCCCTTGAGATACTCACTCTCAAGGGTGCCAAGCAATGTTAGCACCTTTAGGTGTTCAGACATGATTCAGAACATAAACCCAGAGATTTCAGGTAGGTATCTGTAGTGTTAAAACCATTCTGACTTGTTGTGGTCTATGTTCTTCACAACAGAATAATTGCTCTATTATTTTTCTGTACATAAAATAAGTAAAAACTAAGGAGCTGGCATGTTCTAAGAGGTGCCTTGAGGTCTTAAAAGGTTGAGGATCACTGAACTATGGTATATATAGCAGAAGATGGAGTAGGATGGCATCTTATAGGCTAACTTAGTCTATGTTAATATACAAAAAGCTGCTTTTTAGTAATATTCCGACTTCTTAGACTAGACACTTTAAGGCAAGAACCAGTCTCATTCTTGTGTTCATTTGGCATCTAACATTTGTAGACACAAGCAGAAACAAAAGAAACAGATCATATATAGCTGGAAACTGTTCCCATTTTTAAGTGAGGAAAAAAAACATGGTCATATTTCACCTTCCATTTTTCATTGAGGAAAAAATGGTGAAATATGAGCATCTAATAACGAAATAGAATGCAGAAATATATTGCCAAGATTTAATTTTTAATTTTATAAGCAAGTTTCAGGGAGATGATTTGTAATGAATATGCCTTTCAAGTGTATTTTTTTTTTTTTTTAATTTTGGTATGAAAAAGATAAAAATGAAGTATTTTTCTCAATAAAAGCATCATATCTCCAAGCCAAATTCTATTAAATATTGATTACAGTACCATGACAACAGAAATGCTGTCAGCTCTCTTACTGGGCAACAGCCACTAGAAGTATTTGTGTTGAAGAAATAAATTCAGCATTTCTTCCAAGGCTACATGAGTCATTCCTTTTAGACTGTAGTCTCCTGTTTTATAAGCAACACTTTCATTCACAGGCACCATTGTAAGATGCAGAAGCAGCAGTCTAAATATTGTATAGAAATTATTCCTGAAGTATTTTGTAGAAAACAACTTTGTTTTGACCATTTGTTCTGAATCAGCAACTTGGCTTTTTCAGCATGGGTTAATGTGTGCAAAGACATTCTCAGTATCCTCTTTACTATCTAGTAACTAAAGTGAACTGAGAAAGCAATTTATAAATAGAGCGTAGAATATAAGATGGTAAGCACAGTTCCAATCACAAAAATATTTTGCAGAACTTACTGCAGAACTGTGGCAAGAATTTCAGTTTCATAATTGTTCACAGCTGGAAGAGACCTTACAGATCATCGGGTCTAGATCCCCTGCACATTGGCAAGAGACTGCTGGGATCAAATGATCCCAGCAAGATGGGCGTCAAGATGTTTTTTGACAACTGCCTGGGTGGTTAACTGTACCACCTCTGGGGGAAGCCTGTTCCAAACCCTCCCAACTATTTGTTCCAGTGAATAAATACAATTTCATGACAACTTTTTGCAAAAATGTCTGGTGCAAATATTTCTAAAATTAAACATAGGTACCTTAAGGAAAAAAAAACAAAACACTTCATTTTAAAAATGAATGAAGCATCTGTCTACTGTGGCAATATGGCAAAATCAAGTAAATGATAAACAAAAGAGGAGCAAACTGCAGAGGAAAATATTTTCAGAGTTTCTAACCAATAATAAAACTAGGCAAAAATGTTATATTAAATGTTAAGAACTGAAAATAAATGTTAGAAACATAAATGAGATCTCTCACTTTAAAATATTCTTAATTCAAAAGGAGGATTTCCATTAAATAATACTTACCATCTTCATTCAGGAATAGCTTGTTGAATCTTAATCCACTAGGCTCTTTACCAACATATCTGTGTACATACTCTGTGCCAAGGTCATTAACAGAAATAGCGTATTTCAAAGGCTTTACACAGGACTGAAGACAAAACGGAACTTTAGTATCTCCAACAGAATGCCTGGTAGAGAAAAAGATGAAAATATTTAGGATCATCGATTTCCTTCTTGAGAACTTGCAATTTTACATGCTCCACTAATTTCTTTATCACACTAATAGGGAAGCTGGTATTATACATATTATTAAATCAGGGTTTTTTTTAAAAGAGCAAAAAACCTTATGCTTTGAACCTTGTAAAGGCAATAATAAAAACTCAAAGGCTGGTCATGCAAGTGAGAAAAAGGAAGTAACTGACTAGTCAAAAGTCTGGAGATTACTCTGCACCAGTGTCGCATTCTCCAAACAGGAATTCCTGCTCAAGGTATTTCATTACAACCCAAAGGGATAAAGGTATTTGTAATGAGAGAATTCAAGAAGCCCAACATGACTTTTGAGCTTCAAGGACTGCGAAGGATTAGGTATTGAAATTTACATTTCAAAAGCATCTCTGTGTAACATCTGTTCTTTAGTGAAATAATGAAACACAATGCTTTGGAAACATATTTATTTAGTTTGTTTTAATATCTAATTCATAATGCAAAGTGCAAAACTGACTATGAATTCAATTAGACCAGCAAAAACAGAATAAGTTTACTTCAATGTTGAGTTACAAGACGGCCAAGTTGTCTGTCAGTTAAGTTTTAAGGTATTACTTACAATTATCTGCAAGAGATTTATGTAAAAAAAAAAGTCTAAAAAAGTACATAGAATCACTTTGAGGCTATTAATAGTATAATGCCTTCCGTTATTACATTCTGTGACTTTTTTAACAAAGGAAAATGACAGCCGAAGAAAGAGTAAGCTTTTGTTTACATTTAAAGGGTCTTGCAACAAGGAAAAGAAAAGCTCAAACCTTATACTGGTATATCACTATGCTAATATGGAAGGTTATGTAGTATTTTCATTTTCAATGCTTACCACAAGAAGTGGCATATGACAGAACCGAGGCAGACAAGGTTCTTTGGGTAAATCTGATATTTGTTATTAGACCAACTAAAATACTTGGAAACATACTTCTTTGCAAGTTTTTGGGTACAAACACCCTTCTTCAGGCATAGGAAGTGCACCTTTGCGGAATAAACAGTACTATCAGGGATCCTGTGTTGCCAAATATTAAAAGGCAAAGCTCGGACAAGTGTCATCAGGCATACACAAATCTGTTTCCATTGACCAGGAAATACCAACAAAATTTCTTCACTGACCCATAAGACATCATTACAGTTAGAGAGGGACTCTGTCACTATAGCTTAGAGTCATTCAAAGAGTGAAACCGTAAATGGTTAAAAACATACCTTTGTCCATCCACTGTACAAAGTGACACACCCCATAAATCAGGACTGAACTTTGCCAGTTGTGGAATATAGTCAGCAACCTACCCAAGACATGAGATAAAATGAAAGAGAAACATTTTGAGCAACATGATTAACTAAGTCAGTTCTAGCATAGCACTTATTTTCATTAAGTTCATGTGGAATGGAATGACTAAACTATTCTACCAGCAATCCAAAACCTTCCTACAAATATAGCGGAAAGCATTTCTTATCACAATTTAAATTTCAGCTTGTTCCAGAAGAAATTAATGTTCCAATATTTATAACCGTTCAGGGTTTTCAAATGATGCATGTAATTAACTTCACAAAGTTTTCAAAGAATCTTTTATAACACAAAATTAATGAAAGCAAGAATTAATGCAGTGATTTAATAGAATTATTGTATTGGCAATAATGTGTTAAGATTCCCTTCACATTCCTCTGTCTCTCACAGGCTGTCTTTACTTGACATGTTAACCAAGCATTAGAAGTCTCTTGCAGATGAGCTCTCATCAGCCATATTATACAAAAAAAATCCTTTAATTTTTTGCATGTGCCAAGCATACATGCACAAACTATTACCTCACCAAATAAATGATCCAATTACGCTTATACAGTTACAGATATAATTTGGCTCAGAAGACTTCAGAAGCAAGCCAAGTTTGCTAACATTAGGAAGCTACTCCAATTAGAGAAAAAAAAAAAAAAAAAAAAAAAGGAATTTGGTTAATTTCCAAAAACTTTAAGAGTTCAGCAAGGTTTTTCTGAACAGTGAAAATATATCAAAGCATTGGACAATGCACACACAATGCATACTAGTTAATTTAAATTGAAGCATGGAAATGAAGAAAACTCAAGAACTCAAAAAAAAAAAAATCACTTTACAACATAGTTCAGGTCTGTTCCCGCTTCCAAAACGTTGTTTTTAAAAATACATGAAAGGAAAAAAAAAAAAAAAAAATCTGATTCTACTTATAACTGTGGCTCTTCTGAGGCTGGGAAATTTTATGAAAGTGAACCTCCTCCCACCTCTCCACAAACCAAAGGGCACCTGCCCTTTAAGAAAATAAAAGTACCTTTCCTCCAGATTGTTTCTTAGCGCTTTCATACAATTCATCGATATGTGAAGTAAATGACATAAAATCTGGTATGACAAACTTTCGCCTGAATGCTTGAGTAAGCAACACAATATTGCTTTGTACACACCTATGGAACACAAGAAAATGGTTGTATTAGTAAATATGCAAGAAGTCTAATTTGTCAGAGAAACAGAAGCGATAATACTCCAGGCCTTGTCCATAAGTACTGAATGGTATTGTGCGTGTGAGTCTGGCTAGACAATCAGACAACTTTTATGTTTTGTGCCTACAAGAATAATTCTTTATTAGAAAGTCTTCTAGTCCACAACAGAGGTGGGGAAACCTTAAATATATGGTTACAGTAGTCACACTTTACAGTTTTATGATTTAATGGATTTAGGCTTTTACTTGTTTCACAGTTGTAGAGGCACACTGCATTTCACGTTACCTGTGGCCACCTGTATCCCTGTTTAGGGGTGCCTAAGTTCCAATGGTTGCCCCTTGCTCAAAGCCCCATTTCTAACTGGCTCGTACCATGAACTGCATGAGAGCTGCAGAAAATATCAGGGAAGAGGATAAGATGAGCACTCCCTCACCCTCTATTCTAAACAGTAGAAGTTTGGATATAACAATGCTTAAACTGGAGATTAGAGAACAGTTGGTAGCTCTTGAAAAACAACTCTGCACCAAGTTGCCACCAGGCCAGGAGTGCCTCTCCTAGAATCAGACCCTCTAGTACACTGCTTTTCAAGCTTTTTACATTTGCGGACCCCTAAAAAATTTTTAATGAAGATGCAGACCCCTTTGGAAATTCTGAGTGGAGGTGTGGACCCCTGTGAACTTTAAGTGGAGGTATTCACATACTTTTGAGTAATCTTTCCCAGACCTCTCAGATATAGTCTGCAGACCCCCAGGGGTCCGCGGAACACAGGTTGAAAACCATTGCTCTAATAAGTTCGAGGAGATTCCAAGCAAGGTGTGAAGGCCAGTAGCTGTATTGTTTGATGTGGTAGTTGGATACGGGAAAAATTAAAAAAAAAAAAATTAAAATAAAAAATTGAAAGCAACAAAGGAGACAAAGTAAAAAACTACTGAGGTACAGACCAAGGAAAGGAAAAAAATATTGGCGGGGTGGGGGGCAGAAATCAAAAGACAAGAAAACAGAGGAGTAATTATTAAAGGCAAGGATTTTTTGTGATATATCTTTTACTGGACTTTGATGAACTACGCTGTGTAGTTGGAAAAATTGTTGAATAAGCTTTCAGACATAAAGGTTTCTTCAAGAGATCTGTGATTCTAGGGGACACCTGAAGAAGGATACTTTTATGATGCACGTACTTTCAAATATAAAACATCCTCCTTCACATTGCTGGTTCAACAAGGAAAAAGATCACAGACACCCCATCCCACTCATACATTTCCTGGACCATCAATGCAACAACACTTCACCCCTACTATAACCCAGGCACAGCATGAGGAGATGCATACGGAAGCAGAACAGGAAGATATTTACACCAGTGAGGTTCAACCCAAAAACCTTTAGAAATCTGGCAATATATAGCCAGATATTCAAACTCATATTTAAACATTGTGTAATTTGCTTAATTTTTGAGGTATTTGCACACAGTGAAAGTTTACATAATGGAAACTAAAACGTAAGAGTATGTTGCAAAGGACATGGCATTCTTTTGGTGGGCTCCTGGGTCACTCTAGAACAGGGGTGGGCAATTATTTCAACTAGAGTGACTCTTACCGAGTTTTGGCAAGCTGTTGGGGGCCACATGGGTAGCCCTGCCCCTTGACATGTGCCTCACCCCCTGGTCATCATCTTGGGACTGGAAGTCCTGCCCCTCCCCCCACTCCCCATGCCTGACCTTTGCCACCAGAAGTCCCTCCCCTTGCCCCCAGAAGTATACCTTTCAGCAAGGGGGTTTGCCACCTCAGAACCAGAAAAATACCAAATGATATTCTAAAAATCAAATATCTACTATAACATTCATCAATTTGATTTAAAAAAATGTTTGTCCTGATTTACGTGCATTTGTGTAGTGTACATAGAGGTGATTGTATAATAGCTTACAATGAAGTCTTATTCTTGTATATTGTAGGGGGTTGTGGAGGGTATGGATGGGAGGGTATGGTTTTATGGGGAGTTGTGGGAGTGTGTGGGGGGAGAGCTGCGGCATGTGTGGTGGGAGAGTGACTGGGGTGTGCATGTATGGCAGTGCAAGGCGGGGGGGGGCGGGGGACTTACCCTATGAACACACACACACACCCACACCCCTTCCTCATTGTCCACAGCCCCTGACACTTCCCTGTTTCCTACCCCACCTCCCCCCGCTGGTTGCTCTGGCACCATTTGGTTCCCAGCTGCACGGCCAAGACAGCAGGACGCAGCAGAAGCCGGCCCAACCTATCCAGCACTGTACAGAGCCAGCTGAGAATTGCAGGGGCTGGCCAAACTGGCTCCTGCCGAGCCCTGTGGTCCCAGCAATGCAGCCAGGAACCACGTCGTGTGGAAGTGGCTGGTAGGTGGCAGGGGAGTGGGGCGGGGCTGGGCAGGCCTTGCTACTGCAGCTGCTGAGTCCTGCTGTTGGCTCCCCCTGGGTCCTGCTGCTGTTAGTGCCTTTTCATCTTTGACAGGCAGCCAGGGGTAATTAATAATTATTTTTCTAAATTTTGTAGGGGCTCTGCAGGCTGGAGAGAATGGCCTGGCGGGGAGCATTTCAGCCTGCAGGCAGTATTTTGGCTGTCCCTGCTCTAGAGGAATCTGAAACCTTCACTGTTTCTAACTTCAGGGATGTAAAGTGAGATATATATGAGCTGAAGTTCTGAGGAAGCACAAGGTCAATGGGGAATGCCCCAGTATGATATGTGCATTAAAAGATTATATTAGGTTCTCAAAAAAAACCAAAAAACCAGATTGTAAAACTAATGCAGACACCATTATCTCCTGCTCCCATTAATAGTCCTTTCTTACTTTCCTTGCAAAGTCATATTCACAGGAAGAATCATTTTCATTCGTAAAGGTTCCCTCCTGTCTACAGTTGATTCAACTGTTTCTCCCTCCATAAAAGAATCTGTTCATTCCAACATTCTAACAGGTATCCAATGCACTTAGACAATGCCAGACTCTGTACTGACCATTCCCATACTGCTGCACAAAAGCTCACAATCAAGCAAAATGGAGGAGACAGCTATGCCTCATGAACATCTCTGAATCTCCCATCAGCTTATGATACTATTTTTAAACCAGCATAAGAAGAATACATTCCATGATGTATAATTCAGCAGAAAACAGCAGCCCCCTGCTTCATCAAGTAATATGCCCATAAAAGTATAAATAGTACCTCAGGACTGATTTGGGCGAGTCCTAATCAGGGAGTTCAGGCAAGGTATTGTAAAAAGTGAAGACCCTGAAGAAGCCTATACCCACCAAGGTCTCCAGATGCTGGACAAGAAAAGATAAGCCTGACTACAGAAGGCAAGAACACTGACGGATTATAAAGGGTTAGGGACAGGGTGGATAAAAATAAATTATTATTGTTTAAAAAAAAAAAAAAAAAAATCTGATTTAAAATAAATAAAATACTAAAATCTCTCATTTAAAAAATAACAGTTACAACTAAATCTACACTTACAGTCCCATAAAAATGAATTAATGGCTCTGTTACACTCATACACCTCGAGTTACCTACCAATCAAACATGGGCATTCATTTCAGTTTTTCATCTCATGAAAATGGCTCTAGTCTGTCTGTCCAGCCAAACTACCTGCTCTTGCTTCTTGAAAGTTCTGGGCTTGCAGTTTCTGTTTCTCAGCAGACTAAAGTCACATGTGCAAAGACACAGGCTGGATAGAATTGTTGTTGTTCTGTGCTTATGTGGTGGTGGAGCTGGGCCAAGCAAGGCACAGGAGTTAGTTAAGACTGCCTTAAAGACAGAGAGACAATCTAGGAAAAGACAAAGGCAGAGTAGAAAGGAACAGTGGAGTGGACTGGAAAGAAAAAAGGAAGACATTACACAGTTTCCTATATTCCCCCACACTTTTGGCACAGAAAAACTGTCATGGCTTCTGAGCGTAAGAGAAACTGTATCTGCGAATATTTTGAAGAAATGCCTTCCCTGGGTAAAAATGGAAAACATGTCAAGTGTAAGTAGTGCAAGAAGGGGATACAGGGTGTTGTTGCAAGAATGAAACATCGCTGAAAACTGCTTATTGGGAGAAAATGATGTGGATGAAGATGTGGATATGTCTGAAGAACAATGTGGATCACATGGTTAGGAAAATTAAATAATTCACTTTGCAATGCATCATTCTTCAAGACTCTCTCTATGCCTTTTAGTATAAGTGTGATTTAACAAGTAAATTCCTAAGGTGTTTGCTATGTTGGATGTCGCTAGAAAAAAAAGTTTAGATTAGCTAATCCTTATGCGTTGTTTAATTAGTTAACTAGGTTTAGAATCTATCACCCAAGTTTACGGCACAGAAAGGTGCAGTAAGAGAAATCTAGAGCTGCCAGTTGCCACTGGGTGTCATTTTCTTATTTTTATGTTACACAATACGTGCCCCTTATTTTGGAACATCATGGCCTCACACCATAATGGTGATGCCATAAATTTATTCCCTATTTTACTTCAGCATAACTCAGCTTTCCCAAGGGAACTCCACCCTATACTTGTTTTCTCAAAAAACAGAAGTGCCAGTGAGTTCAATGGGGCTTACTCCAAAATTGAAGGGCACTTTAAGTGCAGTTAGTCTTAGCTTTTTTGGTAATTTGGAATTGGATCTGCATCCTTGCTGAAAAAAATGTAAAATTATTAACTGACTAATAGAATGAGAAGAACTGAGAAGAATGACTATTGAAAAATCATTTTGGTTTCAGGATCCCATTTAAGCATAAGAGACTGTGACTGTCTATCTGCAAAAACTTCAGTCATCCATTGGTACTTTTAGTAGCAGTGCTGCAACTAAACATATTTCAGACAAGAAAGTATCAGTAGCAAGCAAAAGATTTCAATCATTAAGTAAAACCACCACCCTGGATGGGCTTGGAGTAAGGACCAGCAAGTACCAACAAGACACCATATATGAAAAGACTGCTCGATTCATTTATGCCACAAATTC